CTTTGTTCTTTCAAAACACTGTCACGGGAAACTTTAATTTGAAACACAATATTTCATCGCATTTAAAACCAGATATTCTTGCAGGGCGAGAAAGTGTTGGTGAATTTATCCTCTATGATTGTAGATAAAATAAAAAGTAAATTTAATTCATTTATAATTTGGATTAAAAGACGCTTCTGTCCGTTGTACACACGACAGAGCAGGGATCTGCTAAGCAAAATATATTTTGCTTTTTTATAGTTGATATAACAATTTAAGGATTGCCACAGGTAAGAGCACTTGAAGGTGCCATAACAATGTTATTGGTTGCCTCGCTGTGTACTTCAAATTCATTCTCTCTTCTTTCGACTGCTACAATGTTGACAAATTGATCCTCAATGATAGATTTTGTGTCCCTGACGCTTCCCATGAAATACATATCCAGGTGTTTTGGATACTGGCGGTGTTCTCCGTCATAAACAGCAGGATGAACCCGAGTACGACAGGAACTTCTCCAAAACGCTGACAAACAAGAGCTATTGTTGTTAGCTGTGTAGGCAAATGAATTTCTTGGGTTCGAACTTGAACTTCCTAGACAAATTCCACACCGAAGTGTTTCTTGTAAATAGCTTACAATCATCCTGTTCCTAAATATGTATATTGCAGGAAAAAGCGATCGCTTAAGTGAAAAAATAAAATAAATGGCGAAGCCGGCGCTAAAATCAATTAACGGGTTTCCCGTGAAAACGGAGTAAAACGCAACACTTACATAGGATAATGTACAGAATAAAAACATAGTAAATAAGATTATAGCAGTTTTCGATGATCGTTTGTAGGCATCCACGGCAAACCTCTCGGCGCTACTATTTCGCGAAATGTAACTGTTCTCCAAGTTTACTTTCCGGCTGCTTCTGACGGAGTTTAGAATGCGGATGAACACGTAGTAAATGATTAAAATTGGCAGAACTAAATTGCTTGATTTGAACATAATGTTGATCATTCGAGGAGTTATTTCTGGCTCGTAAATATGAGGGAAGAACGAATAACATCTCCCTTTGCATGTGCTACTGACCAGACACCAAGGCAAGGCGGAAAGAATGGCTTGTAACCACGACCACAACACTATCATACGCGCCCGCTTTCGAGTCATTTTTCGTCTCAGTCCCTTGACTAGTATTATAAACCGATCCAGCGCGATGCCGCACATATTCAGTAGAGCAGCCACCACGAACAAGTCTTGAAATGAGAGCAGAACCCGACATACAACAAAATTTGAATAAATCAAGTCTTTTGCGAGGACAGCGATCCAAAATGGAGCGTCTGATATGGCAGAGAGCAGATCGGAGATACACAAGCTTACCACAAGAGTATTGGTGGTCGTTCGCATTTTGAAGTTACGGCAATAAGTCAAAATGATGAAAAAGTTTCCAAGGATGGCGAGCGTGATGTTTAAAATTATCAGAAATCCTCTTGCAGGTGTTGCAAGCCCCATATTTAAGTCATCGTTGTCCTGACGAGAATCATTACTGGTTAAATTCAACGTCATTTCATTCTGTTTTCCGAACAACGTCACCATTTTCGGTGGCGTATTCGCAACTGCGACTAATTACAAGGGACAAGAAACAAGCTCACGTTGTATTAACATCACTGTTGTCTTTTTCTTGCTCCACTGTGCAAACACCAGCGAGACGCTCGATGACAGATGGAAGTTAATACCGGCAGTTTTTATGAGTAACACGCTCTGAAATAGCCTGGTGAACGCAATTTATCGTTTACGGATGAACAAAATTTAAAATCACGAAACATTCCGGACGTCGTTTGTGCATTTCTTTTCCAGAAATTTTAAAAGTGTCGTGCGCAGGAAGAACGAGTAAACATTCAAACGGCTTTAAGTTTAACATAACTAGAACGCATGCGTACTGAGAACAAATCGACGTTTTAAGCATTTATATTTGCTTTGATTTTTTAACTAAAAAAGCTCTAGATCTTATATTAAAATCAATTTTTTTGTTTTTAAACGAAGAAAGAAAACGTCATTTTAAGTGCAAATCCCTCGACCTGAAAATGATAAAAATGTAATGCATATTAAAAACGACGTATTGTACTTCACGCTATTTTTCAATCCATTAGTCACCTGTCTTCTTTACGGATGTAAAGGAGAAACAAAAGTAATAAAGCGAGCTGAGAAAAAGACGCAATAAAGTTCCACTGAGTTAAAGGAGGTTTCTTGCGTGGGAAGATTGCACAGTCATCGACAGAATACGAATTTCACGCGCTCATTTAGATCTGCATGTAAATTATTATTCCAGCTATCTCCAAATGTTTAATCAATATTTTCTTGCGAATTTCCATCGGTTTATTTCTTTTCGAATATTCTTTCACATATTCCTTTCATCTTAAACACAAATATAGGAGAAAAGTAGCACACATAATGACAAAATATGAGAATATTCTTTTATTATTTATACAAAGGCGATCGAAGCGCTGTACTGGTTTTAATACCGCCCCGAGCTTTTGATGACCGAATGACGGCGACAATAAGATAAAAAAAATATTCGAGAACGCACTTGAGCTATATTTATTGCCATAGGATGATGATGAAGTTTTACACGACGTAAACATATCTCGGAGAAAATTAATCAGATGAATAATTTGATCGGATGTGGTAGATAAAGGATATTGAAAAGCAAATAAAGGAAATACAAATCCTCGTCTGAGCTCGCTTACAAATAATTTTTCCTGCTGTTCAGCAAGCGTTTACCGACATGATATAAGTCACACATTGAGGATAGTACACAGCCGTGTGTGGATACGAATTTTGTCTTGCACTCTCACGAGTGAGGGAGAGAGAAAAACAGTGAGAGATATGGACATGTATGATGTTATTGCTATTTTAAAACACAATTCAAGGAAGTAAATGATATCCAGTTTCCGTCATATGAATAAATTATAATTTTCTCCTGTCACAAAGAAAGCTGAATTCGACTTATAGAATGTTGATGAGGTACGAAAGCCAAGGTGTATCCAAGTTGACGCAAATGGTTACCTCTAAGACACCGTTAACTTCCACTGTGAGAGATAACATGAACTAGGGCATTCCTTGTAACCGGTGATGACATCTCTCGGAAACAGAAGAAATCGCTATCTAGATTTGTCTTTTATAACAAATGCAATTCTACAGAATCAGACAAGGAAGATTTGTATTAACACCTGCAATGGTTCAGAAATCTCCCTATTCTACTAACTTTATTCAATGTCCTTGAAATGTACAAAATTATAAATAAACTAAATTGATAATAACAGAAGGTGAAACCTCATTATGTGAGCAAAATCCGACCATACACAATAGGCCCTAAAAAGCAAATTTCTTTGTGAATCGAAGGTTCATTAAATATAATCCATTAATCCATCTTTCATAGAATTTCTTTACTTTACGTATCAAATAGCCATCAGTAAGGAAACAAAATACTAAGATAAAAACAGTTCAAAAAAAGGAAACAAAGGTCAGTTGTTTCGGCTCTGAAGCGCATAAAACGAGATTTTCGTGTGATTAATGATTTGTCAAACATGAAAATAGCGAATGATACAAAACATGAAAGCGAATTTAAACTGTAAACCTGGGATAAGACTAGATATAAATAATCTGTGTGGTACCAACACCCAAATGTGAGTGATCTATAATTAGTTATGGCTAAAAACGTCTCATTTCTCGTTGCAAAAGGTCTTGTGGAAGATACAATCTTTAATTTCGGCGACGCCTGTGTAAATCAGTGAGCAAATTTTTACTTTGCTTATTTCTGTCCGCTTTTTACAAATAGATCTTTGACGTCCATAATTGAACACTGAAATCACCAAGATATACTGTTAACTGTAAGAAAAACTAAGATATAAATTGAAATCTCGAGAATCAATAACTGTTTGGAGGCTTGTCTTGGATGTGTGTCTTGTGAGATGAGTTAAAATAGCAATAACGGGTGAAGAGATTCTCGTCAAGTCATACGACTCGTACATGTACTTTAGTCTTTAAGGGTTTACAAGGAAGCTTACCTGCATATATGTACGATCTACTTAAATTTAATGCAGACCTACCCACACGAACTGGTCGCTGTAGTAAATTAAATATCGCCTGCCCTCGATTCAATCGCGAGACCGAGGGAGGAAGACCTTTAGCGTATCTGCGACAAGATTGAGGAACCAACTATCCATTAATCTAAAGAGGCGACAACAGTTGCTTCTTTCAGAAAGGCCTTTCACTTACATTTTTAACGAGGTATGATGAAGTAGAACACCTAAATCCGAATGCGATTTAACCTAGCCCATGCAGCATATTTAATTTCATCTAGTTTTTAGCTGATATTCTTATAGACCTGTCGACCAGTTTTATAATCCTCGAATACATTTTAATTCTAATTATGCTACTTTTAGGATCGAGGGCCACCAGTTCATCAGTTGAATTACTGTTGTGTGTTACCCTCCTTAAATGAAGTTTTTTGTTTGTTTGTTGGCAGTGAAAGTCAGCGAACGGGGAAGATATCATATAATTTTTTACCCTGGTATTGTTGCATCAGCACCCCACACTTTCTCCCAACCCCTATGCTCAGGCCGCCGATTGCAGACAAAAAAAGAAATATTTTCGACGGACAGGGGGTGACTTACGAGCAATAAGACTCATAACCCGGGGTCAATTCAGGGCCTGTCACGAACTCCAGTCACTCACTTATGTTTGACTCTTTCCTTTAGTCATTTGAAAATATTCTTATTTGATGAATAGTAAAAGAAAATTGCTCAGGAGGTTATTCATCAACCGGAATCATCAGTGTAAACAAAGAACGAGTTTTTTTCATGTTCCTCCCAGCCAATGAGAAGCATAATTGCGAAGAATTGAACTAGAAGTGAATTAGTAAATGTCAATAATAATGTCGGAAGAGTCAATCAAGTAAGTCGGACCAGACCTCTAAGAGGGCGTGGAAGAGCATATTCTTTTGATAAATTACATTTACTCCACTCGCATGATACTTAGGAAGATTTGAATCATTTTACTTCTTCAGAAAACTTTGTGTCACAAGATTTAATTTTTCTGTAGACTTCTGTTTAGTTCATTGTTTTGCTGTCCTCGATCACTTCTTTTAGATTTCATTGGCGCCTATCAGCTTTTCTCTCTGACGTTTCGCACACCTTTTTAGCTCTTGCGTGAACACGGCTGTACAGAAAAAAAAATGAACAATAAGCATTTTCGAAGCGACAAGTATGGTGATACGGATAACAGATAACAGATATGAATATCTGTTATCTGTTATCCGTATCACCATACTTGACGAATTTTACGATTTAGTCACTGGTACACATATTTCATATGCTCTGATAACAAAGCTGTAAGAGAGAGTTTTACCACTAGCTAATTTAGATTGTGGCAGAATATCACATTATGCAAACTTTTTTTCAGTGGAAATTCCTTTATAACTACAAAGGATGAACCTATTTGTGCATTTGAAATGTCTAAGGCAGCTTACCTCGTCTAGGTATCCTATCGAAATTCTGCTCGTTCTGAATCACTAATGCTAACCTCCCATCCACTTGAAACCGTCGTTTGCCCTTCGGCGGGAATGGACGTGGAAATGGACCGATGACACCGTCACAATCTAGTATTATAAAGGCCACGAGGACATTCAATGTCAGAACAGCTGATATCTTGGACACCATCATCCCTTAGATGTGACACTGGTATATCAAACACTGCTAGATCAGACAGAAGAAATTTTCAAGGAGCAGCCTGTCATCGGTTAATGTCATACCCGGGAAGCCATGAATCATTCAACGTCATCAAGGATTCTACTGAGTCAATTACGCAGCCGGCCAATTACTGATTTTGTAGCAACGACTTTCGTCTTAGTCAAGTAGCAAAGCAGCGGTAGCAATTGTTTCAAGGTCAAGATTCCAATATCTGTAACACTGATGGAAACGCTGAGAAATTCCTTTCTAAAACTTTTATTTAAAAACAAACTAAAAAAGAAGATTAATTTTCGGAAAACACATCTCATCTGCAATTTTTATACTCGTTCTACGTAAATCCGACGTTTTATTTTAAGTTCTGCCAGAGGTTAACCGTTAAAAATGATTGATTTGACACGTGGCTATTTTTCCAGCTGTTATTGACTTCCATTGTATACCACCACTTCATTCATGAAATCATAAAGAAGTTGTGTGCTTAGATAATTGTTGCAAACTAGAATGATAAGAGGGGTTGAGGGCTTTTGCAGGTTAAAGAAACCCAGAATTACTGAACTAAAAAAGGCTTTTTTTAAGGTTCTTCCCTCAGGCGAAAGGAAGCTTTACTTGAGGTAACTGTCCATCCGGCAATGGATGGCGTTGGCTTTAATTAATTTAACTATGAAAAGATGGTAAGGGTTAGTTAAAGAGGAGCGAAGGTTTTCACTTCCCAGTCATATAAGAACGACAAAGGGGACTTCGTAAAATAAGGATGTGGACAGCACATCACGAAAAATAAAAACAAAGTAAAAAGATAAATAAATGAAAAGTGACATCAGTCTAAGAAGAAACCTATTCAATTCAATATCAGAAACTCCCCGTAAAATACTGGGAGAAATTCCGAAATTGCAAAAATACTTCTTATTCCATTCACTGCGCACTCATGTATTTATTTCTATGTTTATCCTATCAGTTGAGCTTAAATACGAGTTTACCTCTATGAATATTGACCCGAAGGCAATGTGCCAAAAGGTGTTAGTAATCTTCGTAAATTTCATCGGCGCACTCATGTGTAATCTCTGTACCTGTGGCATTTCTGACCTTTTTGCTGTCAAAAAGTAACTAACGAGGAAGCTGAAGACACAGGATACTGGACTGCCATCTCTTTTAAACAGATTTCAAATTGTGTAAACAATATCCATGCCTTCCGCACTGTGTCGTTCTTTTTCTTTCTACTTCATTTTTAAAGGTGTATACTGAACGATTTAGCAACTGAATCTCACTCCAAGATATTTTTTTGAAGAAAAACCATTTTCTGACATAAATCACGCGTGGCACAACGACAATGAAAACACATACAATCAAAATTCTAAATATGTTTTTAATATTCTTGTCATCTATTTCATTTTTATCATTTAATTCTCTTTTCATACATTTTATTTTCATTTTCTGCTGTTCTCCGTCCATGCGTTTTACGCCGTTGCAAAGACGGTACATTCTAATGAAACAGAACATATTCGTGCAAACTGCAAGGCAAATCAGATATCTTTGAGCATTAAGATCTAGACAAGGAGAGAAGAGGAAAGAGCTCACGATACAAAAAAAAAAAATGTCATTTACTTTTTTCATTCACTGTGCAGGAAGTCAACTTTTATCAGTGCGACTTTCGTCTATGCAATAATTACAGTCATCAACAGGGAATTTGTCCTGTTCTATTCAATTCTTTATTCAAGTAATTGCGGTTCAAAGTTTCTCAGAGTTCCCCGTGAAGGTGAAGTCAAAGGTTATGCTAGACTTAGCCCTCTTGTTTAATTTTCGGATTCTTCGACCTTGATTATTGCTTCTTGAAGTAGTCGTGTAGTAGAAGTGGGAAACAGCCCAGAAGATCTAAATGATAAGACCTCCAAATTACTCTAGAAACCCAAACAGGATCATTGTTGTAGGTCGACCGTTCCTAATTCTAGTCTTCTTCAAAAAATGACATTTACTAACATCTAAATTCGATAATTCTTCAATCGATCTACCTAAAAGAAACTCTTTGTGAGGGATAAGCCTTGAATAATGCTGGACTTTAAACATGGGGAGAACCATGAGGAATAAAAAAATACTTCGAAACAACAACTGATAGAGACATCCATCATTGTATCACTTGACACAATATGTTACGAAGTTTCTAATTTAAGAGTGAGATTTAATCTTAAATCATATCTTCTGTTCGATATCATAGAATAAAAATGCAGTTCTTTTCCTCGCAAAATATCTCGTGATGGTTTGTAATGAACAAAACAAAAATATCCCTGAGCATCGGATCATAACGTTGAAATAAATAGTATGTCTTCCTATGGGATCCAACTGAGCCATAGCATCAGGCCATTGCTCTGCAAAGGCCTTCATATGCATTCACTCTATTGTTATTATTTATTTCTCTGCCACAAATCATTAATTATAGTTTACAACTTATCAATCAATAATTATAAAATAATTGCAATATCACATTTATCTACAAATTTGTCCACAACTGAAAAAAATTTAAGTAATGTAGTGAGGAAACCCAATAGTGCTAAACACTCTGTACAGAGAGTACTAAGTCCAGTTGTCTTGTCTTTTCAGAGAAAACTATCCAACAGTTAGGTAACTCTGGAACACCCAATTTATAACGATTCAGTATTTAACCCCCCATCACCCTCACAGGAAAACCAGTTTCAAATTCGTCACCGCCGGTTTAAGCCTCGTTTTCGGACCAAGTTTAAAAAAATCACTAGCAACGCAGCGATTCAGTGGCTTGGGAAAGCCTATGAATATGTCGTCAAGGCACACCTTTAAGATTCCAGTTTCACCAAGCTGTCATATGTTTTCATCCAGAACCAAGTAATATACCCAATATACAAAGTTAAGAATGATAAACGTTGGTATGAAAATGTAACGAGACCATTTATCTAGAGTGTTGCTCTCGTTCTCTATAACTGTCAAATGTTCCTGCGCCCGAGAAATGGAGGCTTTTTTTTCAACATCGACAATCGATCGCAAATTAGAGAACTCTCCACTTGATGTCTTTTCGGGAGAGGATATTTCCGCTGGATATGGCAATTTCTGATATAAGAAGTTTGGTGGATATGAGCGATGAGGGATATTCCAAGTAACGTAAAATCAACAAAGCAACTGGATGAATGAGTAATGAACTTGAAGTGTTGCATTCTGTCACGTAAAAGTTTTTTAGAAATATTTTAGTGATCACCACTGAAAAAGGAAAACAATTCTGAGGCTTCAAAGAATTGGGATCCATGTCAATACCCATAATTGGAATAGGATGCTTCTTTCTTTTACGTCTCTGGACTAGTTTATTCGTCAGACCCCACCAGTAGTTTTGGGTCTACGGTATCTGTGTCAGAGGTATCAGTAGCCGTGTTACTGTAGCGTGTAAAAGTCAAAATGATCAATCAAGCTCCTCAATAGATTGATTACTTTCTCATTAATAGAGCGGGTAAGTTTTTACAGAAACTGTGGTGTTGCGTCGGTGGGGGGATATTGAAAAAATAAGAAACGCGCCGAGTGCATTGTTGAGTTATATAAGCACTTGGAAATTTTTAAGAACACGAGAGAAGTGCGGAGAAGAATTCTGCTCGAGTGTTCTTAAAAATTTCCAAGTGCTTATATAACTCAACAATGCTCGAGAGACAAGTTTTTTTATTTCTTTTTTATAATTAAGTTCGGATATAACGCGCGCTATCATTGGTTGAAAGGGCTGCTATATGAGAGTATAGAGCATAAAGCAGAGCTAAAGCTGTCACGCCATTTGCTAAATTGTACGATGTCCGACCTTTTCCGGAACTTCATTCTAGTTTTTTTTCGTTAATTAAAAGTGAATTTCAGGAAGAAGCGATCCGGTATGTAGCAACAGAAGAACCAAACAAAGGTTTCTAAACATGCCAAGTACCGTAATCTACGCTATTATAACGTGAGCAGGGACGAAAATCCTCAAAGAGTGAACGAAATGGACAGTCCGAGTTTTGAAGGTTTTCATGCTCGGTTAGATTATGCAAGCTTACGTATGCTAATAAGAATCAAACACAGGTAACCCTAGTATAAAAAGTTTCGTGATCAAAAAAAAAGAACAGAACAAAACACGAATGATGAAAAACGTAACCAAACTGGCACAACTGTTAAAATTCATACTAATCATGATGGTGTCAGAGCGACCGCGATCATGCTGAGGTACATCGCGGCTAGCTCTTCATGGCGATCTTCGGTCATCGCAATGAAGCAAGTCTCAGAAATTACATCGGCCGACCTTCGAGTGAACAACTAATAGCTCTGATGCCCTTTCCGATGCGCTGAGTGGAAGGCCACATCAGTCACTGCAGCCGCGTTCTACGGCTCTGTCGTCCTGAGCAATCTTCATGTTTCGGTGACTTTCGGCTGTCGTTCATTTTGTTTTCTAATTGTCATGCGAAAAACTTGCGTGTTTTTATGAGCCACGATTCGGCCGAATTTCACTGAACATTTCACTTTCAGATTCTGTATTGGAGACGAAAAAAACTTTAGGCAAGTGTTAAAATTGGACCTGCCGAACTATTTCAGTATGTAAACTATTGCAGAATGTGAACTTTGGTGGTTTTTGAACCTGGATTGTTTGACATTTTTGACAGCTGTAGTCTTGTACAGCCAATCAGATTATTTGAACCATTCTAACAGGGATTCTGATTGGCTTATTGTAGCGTACTTTATGAGAGTACAGAGCATGCTGACGGCACTGTTGTTAGTATAGGTAATCACATGATTTCGAGTGCAATTTGGAATAAATATGTACGTATAAATTTTCTCAAAGACTAACAAAGTTGCACTTAGCACTTAGGAAGCAGGTAGAGCACCCAAGAAGTAGGAAGGAACACTCGACTACGTCTCGTGTTTCTCCCAACACTTCTTTCGTTCTCTAGCCGCTTTCTTAGTGCTTTACAACAGAACAGAGTATAGTCAAGGCTTCTCTATTTGTTAAATAAAATGTATCGTGAATTGCGCGCGCTCGTACCG